GTGTGTGTGTGTGTGTGTGTGTGTGTGTGTGTGTGTGTGTGTGTGTGTGTGTGTGTGTGCGTGTGCGTGCATGCGCAGGTGTCTATGCAGTCAAGGGGAATGGATACGTTTGCCTCAAACACCCCGCACCCTGGTAGCAGGCGGTGAGCCTGTTGGGGAACGGTAATTGGCTTCTGCTGAATCACTGAAGCAGGTGGCTCATTACCCCACCTGGAAATAATGGAGCCGGGGAGTGGCTATCTAGACCAGGGGTGGCCAACCTGTGGCTCTGGAGCCACATGCGGCTCTTCAGAAGTTAATATTCGGCTCCTTGTATAGGCACCGACTCCGGGGCTGGAGCTACAGGCGCCAACTTTCCAGTGGGCCGAGGGGTGCACCCAGTGAAATCAATGTTTTTGTGTTAGTTAACATTAGAACCTGCTCAGCACCCTAGGATCTAACCTTCAAACAAAGGGCACAGCACCAACCACTTCATTCATATTAGAATTGTTTTTATTTATTAAATCTCCATAGCATTAAAATAAAACTTCCCAAAAAACAAGGATCATCTTTGTGTTTACATGTAAGTCGTAAACCGGGCAAAAGAGGAAGACTTCTACAGAGGTCAAAGGTCAACCAATCATCCCTTTAAGAGAAATAAACATCCGTTTCTCTGGTACAACCACAAACTTCTGTGCTGGTGGACACTGTGAACCAACGAAGCAGGAGGGGGTTAATGAGAAAGCGCCCAAAGGGCTTTGGTGGGTGGGGGCTAAGGGGGGGTTGTGTGTGAATGCAACTAAGGTCCGAGTGCCACAATCACAGGGGGAGGGGGGCATGCCTGGAGGACGGCCCCACCATCGGCCTGCAGATGTGAAGAGGCCCCCCTTCCTCCCTAAAACAATGAAACACTAAAACAAAGAATAATAACTGAAGGGCGGGGCCAGGGGTAATTTTATGATATTATGTGAACCACATTACAGCTGAATAACTGAATGTCCCTTCAGGGCCTATGTATCAGGAGGGTGTCTCTATAAACAGAAGGCTACCGCCTACCCGGATGGCTCTAAGAACACGGGAAAACTCAACAGCAAGAGTTACTGGCAGATCTTAGTGCTCAGCGACCCACGGAAGTGGAAAAGGGGCGGAGCAGGGTTTGAGGCGCACAAAACACACCTAGCGCCAAAGACGCGCACCCACAGCACTTTCCCCCACCACAAGGTGTGGAGGCTCATCGCTCCATTTGCCCTGCCCTGGGCCCAGGGCCAGCAGGCGGAAAGGGATAGCGAGTGGGGGCGGTGAAGAGACGTTTTAAAGGGCAGGTGGTAAGGAGGGAGAAATTAAATGAAAAGTCACATGGTGCTGGGTATGGACTGCTGGACAATCTGGAAGTATATGGCTTTAGGAGCTACTGAGACTTGGGAGGTGTCCAAGAGATGCCATTCCCTTCCCCTGTCACCTTGGTAAAGGAGTGGCTCAGAATCCGATACACAGCAAGTTTTAATGTCTTGCTTCCTCTAATACAACCGGTGGCAAAAGGTGCCTCAGAGCAACCTCAGCCCCAAGGCAACTGAAGTCAAACTCTGAAACGGTTTCCACTTTTCTAATCTTCAGGACCTCCATACCAACCTCCCACCCCCCCTTAAAAATCGTATGACCTAAATAGTGCTATCTAGCAGTCTGCAAGAACTGAGCCAGCCAAGGACCCCAATGGACAGGTCAGTTACAAAGTAGAAATGCTTTTCTCTTTATAAACAGTTTGGTTTTTTTTTAAAAAACAACAACAGCCTTTGAGTTCTGCTTTTATGATCTTATCCTGGAACCCCATCTTTGGTGTTGTATTTCTCTCATTACACCGCAACAAGATCTAGTGGTTAACACACAAGGGAGCGAGGAACCCCTGAGTTCAAGTCTCAGCTCTGACACTCATGCCCCCTTGTGCAAATTACTTCCCCCTGCCTCAGTTTCCCTCCTCTGTAAAATGGGGGCTACTTGTCTACCCCACAGGCATGTTGTGAGGAATTATTAGTTGCTGTTTGTAAAGTGCTTTGAAGATGAAAGTTGCTCTGAAAGTGCTAAACAGGCATTGCAAATGCAGATGTGCCCCTTAAGAAAAAGGAGAGGAGAAAACAGCCGTCTGTGCACAGACATTCATTTACCAACATAACTAACTTGGCCATTTATAATCTTCCCTTTCTAAAAGGAAAAACTAAAAACTCTAAAGGGCACGGAGTCCACTTTGTGGAGTAGTGAATGGCAACTTGTAAGTGACACAGGAATTATCCTCCATGATAACTGATTGGCTACTGTTTCCCTGATCTTCTCTTGAAAGGGGTACTGGCGGGGCAAATTTGGCCCAAATTTAATTTTTACTTAAAAGACCAGTAGAAATATTTCCATTGCATTTTTTTTAAAAGTTATTAGAATGGAGACAGATTTTCTCAAACAAAGAAACACTCCCCCTTCAGTGCACCAGACCCAAACCTTGCAGCCTTTTGCTGATTCCTGGAGACCTGTCAGCAAAACTGACTAAAGACTGACAAGAAACAAAGTGCAACTGACTCATCTGTTTTCTCTATCTAAGCTAAATTAAATGTGAGCATTGAACAAAGAACTTAAAGGGTGGGAATTAAATTAGATGTTTAAAACTCTTTCCATTTGAATAATGCACAGGGTTATTACTAATAGAAATAAGGGACGTTCTCATGGAAAAAGCATACTGAAGATTTTTACTCTGACAGTGACCTGTTAGCAACAAATATAAGGGAAACCCTTAATTATGTCCCAGTCATACTTAAGAGCTTCTTAAGGTTGGATGGAGAAATTAAAGCAGCCAGGTTTTCATTATCATGGTAAAGGACTCTAATTGCCTGATTTGCCTCTTAAATACACCAGGGCAAATCTGGAGTAGGAGCAGAATTATGCCAGGGTAAAACTAGTGTAAGGAAATGGCAACTCAAGCCCCGGCTGTTTTTCTTGCCTTTGGTAGTGCAGGCAGAAGGGGAGGAGAGTGAGAGAGAAAAAGAAAGTCAGAGAGGTTCCACCTTAATACAAGAGGAAAAACAAAATTGACAGGAGAAGCAGAGAGAAGCTGATGATGCGTTGCTATGGTTACCTCATCTGAGACATGCCTTGAACATCCCAGAGGTATCATACCCTAGGGTAGATACAAAGATCCTCACACAACAGGTTGTTCGGGCCTTCCCAGAAGGCATTGCCAAGACATAAACAAATAGGGCTGGGGCAAAAAGGAAAGCTCTGGTTTGTGTTCTCTTTGACACAGCTGTGCCCAGTGAACAAGCAACCTTCAACCTGTCTCCAGGCTGGACAGAGGGAGCCAATCTCAAGACAAGGAGAAATTTAATAAACCTTATTTCCTGCCCTCCTGACACCCCCCCCCCCCGCCCAAAGTGCAACGTTACTAATTATATTATTATTATTTAGCTCAGGACTCTTTGGTCAGAGAAATGCTGTTGATCATATCACACCATTCTGTGTGCTTGCTGGTTAGGCCAGATTCTTGTCTCAGACACACACCGGTGCATCCAGAATTCCCACGCAGGTCAATGAAGTCGCTCCAGATTTACACTGGAGTGACTGAGAGAAGCGTCTGGCTTTCGCATCAGCTGCAACCCCAGCTTCCCTTCTGTAAGGCCTGGTGGTGGGAATTCAGTTGTGGATTTCCCTGGTGGGGTTCCTTTCACAAAGATTCCCCGCACCCCTCCGGCAACCTTGGTCTAGTAGGGGGCATTTCCTGGGTGCATTAAGTCCAAGAGCCCCAGTACTGGCTCTAATGATAATTCCCACAGGAAGACAACACAGTTAAACACAGATTAAAACAAAAGATCTTCTCCCCTTGTTGCTGGACTCTGCCATCCTGCCCTGCAGTTAGCAGTAGGACACTGAGCTCTCTTTGGTCAGCCTGTTCACTTTAACACAGCCACTTCTGCCTTCTCAGTCTTTTAGCGAATTGGGCATGAGACAGAGCATACCAAGATAAGCTGCAGTTTAACCCTTCCCATGCTATACCGGACTTGGATGTCCGGACTGATGCTAAGGTGTGTTCCTGGCATCACATGAGTATTCTTCACTGGGCATAACCCTTCTGTCCTGGGCGTAACAGAATCTCCAGGGACTGAAAGACTTGAAACAATATCAACTGAAGTTACAATATGTTAGCGAGTAATGGCTGCCTGCCTGTCAGCCCTGCTATCCACAACAATATTGATCCAAACTCCAGCCTGTCTGAAACTCACTGTGAATGGGAGCCAAAATCGATAGAAGACAATGGAAAGACTCCCGTCTGGATCAGGCCCTGGGTCCTTTGTTCTATGTGTACCGATAGTGGTGCATGAATAAATAGCACTAGATGCTTACTTGAAGCCGGGCTGTGATCTAGGTCGGAAGGTCCTTGGGCAGGGTGGTGATTAATAGAAAATGGATAAAACTTCTCCGCCTCGTCAGTGTTTAAGCAGCCAAACAGGCCTTGATTGCTGAAAAGGTTTTCTGGTGGTGGAATTAATAGCCCCAAATGCCTCTGCCCGCCATGTAACAGTCATTTGATCAGCAATGTAATTAGATTCTTAACCCTCAAAACTTGTTGAGGGTTCACTGGACTGAACACAGACGCTTCCTATTAGCATATTTAAGAAACCACCACATGTATAACAGCTAATAGGCATTTAATTTATTTGCTGGGGCCATGGTGCTTGGCAAGTTGGATGTGGTGATAGAAGTTCTTTTTGTCCACTCACTCGTGAGTGACAATAGGGGGCACAGGTTGTCTCCTACAGAACAAGAACCCCATCCTTCTTCAAAGGCTCAATCTCTTCCTTTCACCCATGTTCTCTGATATAAGTCATCTAGCCTCCCAGGCATATCCACAAACATCTGTATTGGGAAAACAAAAAAGAACCAAACAAGGACTCAGTGGATGTGGCTGCAAAAGATATGCATGAGCCTGCCACTCCCACAACAACCCATGTGCCGAATGCACACGCACGCCCCCATCCGCTGTGGAAACTTGCAATTGAACATGTAAATCAGGTGTCTCTCCAGTTAAATTAACTTCCCTGCCTGCTAGGAGTCCGAACCAGTGACTAGATGTGCAGTTACCCAGCTTTTGCCGCTGCTATAGGCATATTCATCTTTCGACTGGTGCATCCGCTTTGGAAAATGGGGTCCAGGTTTAACCCACCAGGACCCAGAAATGTAGCGTTAAAGTGAAATGCAGAGTGTGTTTGCAGCACATTTGCTTCAATAGGTAAGTCGCCCCCATGCCGCGGAGATACCTGCTCCAACCCAGATGCAAGGGGACGAGTTGGGTCCAAAGTGTGAGCTTCCTCTGGGGCTTTCCTGGCTTCTGTGCTATTAAGACAGGTGCTTATTTATTTGGAGTTAGGTTTTTATAGTGCAAGCGACTTCGTTATTCATTACGATTAAATAGAAAAGCAAACACTCAGAGCGCCGGCCCCAGAGCTCTTTGGAGTGGATGTTTGCTTTGTTGAAGGGGGCCAGATCTGAGGCTGAAGTTCTCTGTTTATCCACAACACAGGTACAGCACCGGCCGTCCTGAACACTTCTCCCCTTCGGGGCTTCAGCGTGCAGCTGTTTCGTTGACATAGATTCATTCGCAGAGTTTAAAGCCCAAAGCGACCATTAGATCATCTAGTCTGACCTCCTGGCTATCACAGGCTATCACTACATTTCACCCAGCTACCCATGTACTGAGCTTGTCTTTGGCTAAAGCGTCTCTTCCAGAAAGGCATCCAGTCTTGCTCTGAAGAGGTCAAGAGATGGGGAATCCACCACTTCCCTTGGCAGTTTGTTCCAGTGTTTAATCAGCCTCACTGTTAACAATTTGTGCCTAATTTCTAATCTGAATGTGTCTGGCTTCAGCTTCCAGCCATTGGTTCTCACAGTGCTTTTTTCCGCTAAATTAAAGAACCTTTTAGTAGCCAGTATTTGCTCCCTAGGAAGTTAGTTAAAGACTGTAATCAAGTCACCTCTCAGTCTTCTTTTTAATAAGCCAAACAGTCTGAGTGCTTTACATCTCTCACTGCAAGGCATTTTCTCCAGCCCTTGAATTGTTTGTGTTCTTGGTCTTTCTGTTGAGGTGATTAAAAGGTTGCTGATTAGAGCCAGCTGTTGTCCCTGGTTTTTGTAATGCTCAGAGCTCTCTACTAAGAACTGGACTGAAATCACCAGGCTACCAAACAAGCAGCCATCTAAGCATGTTGACTTTTGGACACTACTAACCTGGCCTGGATTCAGATCTCAGACCTATTTGGCAAAGGCTCCAGATCAGATCAGCAACCCCTGTGCCCTCCGGCCCCCAAAAACTCATGTACAAGAGTTAAGAGGAAAACCCAGAATGGCTGACCCAGTGTCGTTGTGTCCACCATGTAATAAATCTCTATGTATTATTTACTTTCTAGCATATTTCCCTTCTGTTGCTAAAAGATCTTGAGAGCTTTCATGTGAGCTCAAGTCACGTAACATCCTTTCATGGAAGCAGTGCACTCTGAAAACGGCTCCCACTGGAATTCAAGGACACTTCAGACAAATGGTCCCTTGATGCTGCCATGTGGGACAATGAATATTGTTGCTCTGAAGAAACTTTTGGATAGCGATTTGGACTCGGCCATCTTCACAGCTGGGCTATTTTTGTTCTGGCTCAATACACATTTCCCAATCTCCTCTCTGCTTCCACATCTTTTCCTCTTAGTACGGAGACCTAGTCTATTGTAGGTTCTCTTCTGTGTGTTTCAGTAGCGTCTCTTTGTTGGCATTGTGCTGCCTTTCTCCGCCCTACTGATTCTTCCTGTGACCCCTTCCCTGTGTCTGCTGAAAGTGAGGGAGATTTTTAACCTCCCAGCATGATGGAAAGAAGAGTTGGCTGAAACTCCTTTCCCTGTTGTTTTGTAGGGCCCGATGCTGATCTCACTTCTACAATGGCGTAACCTCATTGACGTCAATTGAGTTACTCCTGATTTACACCAGTAAATGAGACCATCGTTGGGCCTTGGGGTTCTAAAGATCTCTTAAGCCATGTCCCATTGTTACAGTCTCCTAAAAAGCTTAAAAAACTTAGAACGTCACGTTCCCCAAAAAATATTTCATCAGCTTCCTGTCATCGAAGCTTGACAATGCTCCTCCACCACCCCAAACCCAGCCCTTGAAACTTTGCTATCTCAATCAAACCAGCGAGTGGATAGATCTGTTCAGCTCGTGGGGATTTTCTGTTTTGTTAGCACAAGCAAGTCCCTTTTAAACCCTTAGCTGCTCCCCCGTGAACCAGATCCATCACCTCGGAATGCCAACTTTCCACTGAGAGATCAGTGCTTCAAGCAATCACTGGGCTTTCTACTACGACAGAGAGGATGCAGGGAAACCTCGCCACGAAGAGCTGAAGATACTTTCTTCCTTCTTTGCTCTTGCTGGCTTGATGCTCTTCATTTTAACGTCCTACTGATCAGCATAGCTTGCCCAGATCTTTGCTCAACGTCTGACCAAGTTTGCTGCGCATTTAAATTATATATGTGACAAGTAACAAGGTAATAAAATATATTTAAAATACGATACAACCAGACAATTTTTTTATGAACTTTAAAATATACAGCATATTTTAAATAGATCAAAATACATTTATTACATATTTAGATTATTTTCTCTATGCTATTTATATCTTTTGGATACTTTTATATTTATATATATTTAAAAGAACATGAAAATTGGCCAGTTTTGTCGCATGAAATACATTTTACTTCTCTATGTATATTGTCACATATATCTCAGATATATGTGCCATGAAACACATAACAAACAGTGCTGATGGAACCGATACAGATATGCCCAGAAAGCCCAGCAACGTCTCTAACCACTATATATAAAAACAATCCTCCAAGAATGGACTCTATCACCACTTAATTTTTATTTTCCAGGAAGCAAATGCTCTCTGGCAACTGACCTGCCTAAGCATACAGTATCTGATTCTCCAGCATCTGGCACCTTGTCTACACAGCACAGCAATGCTCATTAGAGAGGTGTGAATTCTAAAGAGCAACGTGTTTCACACTAACTGGCCTATCTGACTCTGTTGGTGTGCATTGAAGTTCGCATTGATGTAGTACTGTTGAAACTGTACTACGTTAACATGCCTTAGGGAACATTTACTGCATGCCAGCAGGGTCCACACGGGCCAGTTAGTGCATAACACATTGGTGCGATTTACAATTCAGATCCCTCTAAGTGCGCATTGCCACACCGTCTAGACAAATCCCTACACCAGTGCAAAGTGAGCATCAAATGCCTCCAGGTCAGAATGGTGGGATTGTTCACTCACTTTGCACTAGTGAGAGTGACTCCACGAGGCTCAGTTGTGAATCAGGGCACTGGAGAATCAGTTCCAGATTTCATTGTCAACTGGGGACCATTAAAGTACCAGCCAAAGGCAGCGAGGTCTGGAGAAAACTTCCACTTGGCTTTTCAGTGTACACACACACACAGGCACACAGACAGTGGAGCAGAGAAACGGCGAAGTGAAAGACAACGAAGCTCTTTTCAGAACAGAAGAACATGAAATTCAGCGAATTCTCTCTGTGAATCACCATCTGCCAGTTGCGCTCTTTGGAGGAAAATGGTTCACGATGGACCAAATCAGGATGTTCCTTACTCGTTCCTTGCTCAGGCAACGCTCCCATTGACGTCAGCTTGAGAAGGGATGAGTAAGGGCTTCAGGAGTTGGCCCTATGGCTCTGATTCACCCATGGCATATTCACAGGATGAAGCAATGCACTTAAGTAGGCACCTAACTTTAAGCACATGCTAAAGCGCTTTGCTGAACGGGGGACTCGGAGAGGATTCTGCTCTGGTAGCTATTAGAAGATGGGCCTAAAATGAATATCCAGATCTAAATACACCTGACATTTTGGAGAGTTTGGGGTTTCCTAGACCCAAACCCAAATCCACATTTCACAACTGAGCTTTAATTCTACAACCGGACAGGCCGCACCCCAGATCCCAGCATCCCTGAATTGCGAGGGGTTTGAAAGGCAGCTCCAGATCAGACATGTGCCTCTTTAGGCCTATCTCTGTTACACACGCTCTATAAATGCACTCCTCCCATCAGCGCTCCCTTTTGAAGTGCAAGGAAAAGAGGAGCGACTCTTTTGGTCTTCAGCACAAGTGAAAAGAAAAGAGCAGGAAAGTTTAAAAATAAACACATTTGTTCTGCCTTATTAAAGATAGAAAAGGTGGCTTTGAATTCGTCTCCTACAAAAGGTTTGAAGGTCACGCAGGCACCGAATCTCAAAAGGTTACAGGTAAGTGATTGTCCCAGCCCTAAAGACTAAGTGCACTAGATTAAATAAGAAGCAGCTAAGTCTTATCATGACAGTTTCCATTCCCTGTATGCAAGCAACAGCTGAATCATCTATCATTTGGAGAAAGCTGGGCTAAGAGTCACCCAGAAACTATCCAAGGAGGGAAGGGAGACCTTCTGCCAACCCCTGGGTGGGAGGATGCGGATTCGATTTCCCCAGTGCAGGCTGAGCAGCCGTTCTTCTGCAAAGCCTCAGGGTGTAGCTGTATTTGAGGAAGCAGGGAATGTGCTCTTGAACCAGGGATCTTAGGATAGAGACCAGTTTCTGCTTTCACTAGTGCAACCGGATTGACCTCACTGGAGCTGCACCAGCGAAAATGAGAGCAGGATCTGGCCCAGGGTCCCAGCCAGCCAATCAAAATGATTCCTTTCCAAAGGAGCTGTTACTTATGTAGGTTTGCTCGAACCCTGACTAAGGGAGGGTTAGTTATATACAGACGGGATGGCAGAGAGGACTTGGTGGGTCTTTTCCATCTCTGATGTCAAAGATTCTCTGAGGACCAAGAGTCACACCAGGGAGTTAACTAGACATAACTGGGGTTTTAAGCTTCAAGGAAATGGCTGGTAGGTGTTCTGCCTACCCACCACTTCACCTGCTCTGCTCAAAAAGCCCTTTCCAGAAAGGTGTCCGTCTCTGGTTGGCTATGAAGGTCTCCTACTTGTCCCTGAACTCAGGAAATTAAACACAAATAAACAAAACAATCCCACACACCAACCAAAGAAACACAAAGAGCTTGGCAGAGATTGGCTCAAACATTGTCCAATCACATGGAGAATCCTGTCTTGCTTGGCCTGTCAGGAAATCCCTGAGTCGGGCTGAGATTTGTGTGGAATCCAGGCTGAAGACACCAGGACTGAAGTTGATAGAGTATCTCTTCACATGGCAAATTCTGCTTTCGATGTACCCGTACCAGAGTAACTCCGTCCAGTGACTCCTGACCTATTCCACTTCAGCCCTGCGGTGTGGTGTCACATCCCTTTCAGAAGGCCACGCCTTTTAAAGGCAACCCCCGGTTCATTAATGGGTTGGCCACACCCACCACCATACCCAGGACCACCCCTTTTAAGAGCAAAACACTTTTGCATGAATGGCTTGTCGACACATACAATGCGCACGAAGAGCGCTCTTAGTCTGTAGCCGGCTCATTGCATTGCAGGCTTCTTGACGGTGTGGGAGATGGTCCTCTTTACAAACGTCAAATACCCAGACTTTGTTTGGCGTCTTTTCTTTTTGAGTGTTTGCATTCTGCTGCAATAATACTATTTGTTAGCCTAGAGGAAACTGTAGGGACATCCTTATATTGCTCCCTGATAGTTGTAAAAAGACTGATCAACTATAGCACTCACAGTTAGGCAAAAAAAAAAAATCTATACATTATGTAACAGCACGTTCCATCTCTAGAACTATACATTATATATAACATTACTCTCCAGAGCTAGTGCTTCACTAGCGAGATGTTCGGGGTAGGGGGCGTGTGAACAAGACTGAGGAAAAGTCTTTGAAATTCAATTCACTAGGGCTGCATGGGTTTTCCACAAGCTAGTTCACATCCTCCTATGCAGTAGTTTAAAAATACATATGTATATATTATTCTATTCTCCCAGGTGGGACTGTACAATTATATAATATTTTTTTTTAAAAGCAATAATTTACTTAAAGACATCTCTATTTTTTTTCTCACTTTTCAGTTTTATATACAAATATTTACCGTGATATATATTACGAAAGGAACCCGACAGCAGCAAAGTTGTGCATCTTTCTCAAAAGAACCTAAAGCCACCCAAAAAAAAGCATTTTAGAAAAAAATAAAAATAAATAAATAATACCCGCAAGAAAGAACCTTGCCCTCCCCTCCCCCATCCCCACTGTTGCTCAAGAAGCAGGCACCAAAACTGTCCCTCGAATCAGAGAAAGGAAGTTGTGTGGTTCAGCTGGAACCGGGCAGGGAAGGGGGTGGGATCACACCTACATTTTCTGCCTTAGAAACACAAAAAAGTTATGCCTCTGCCCTGGGGCTTCGCAGGGCAGGTGTGACTATATCTCTATGCAGCCATGCCCATCTCTGATGGTGTGTCCATATGATCCAGTTACACAGGGGACAAATTCTCAGCTCTGAAACATTTTCAGGGCACTGGACAAACATCGCTCATCCTGCACTGGCATATACTGATTCAGAGTTCCCATGACATCAGTGACATCGCAACAGTTGCCAACTCTCCATTCCTGTCCTGAAGTCTCCAGGAATTAAAGACTCATCTTTAATTAAAGATGGTGTCATGTGATGAAACCTCCAGGCATACGTGCAACCAAAACTGGCAACCCTACCACTGCAGCATGGGAGACCGTCACATGAAACAGTTAATCTTTCCAATCTCCCCTCTGCAGCGCTCTGATTTTACAGGTGGAATGAGGGAGACATATTAAGAGACTTTCCCAAGGCCACATGTCAAGTCCTTTGCAGAGCTGGGATTAGAATTCAGGAGGCCCATGCGCTAGGCCAGCCGAAAATAGTCACAGCAGTGCTGACATTTGTCAAGGAGAAGCAGATGCTTTCTCCCCCCTTCCCCCACAGAGCAGGACTGCACATCATTTAGAGGAAGCCAAAAATAAAGCAGCCCCTTGAGTGAGCAGCATGGAGCTTTCAATCACTGCTGGAAAGGCGAACGGACGCTGGAAATGGTACCAGGACGACTTGGAGGAAAATTCCCCGGAGAGGTAACCTCTGTATTGGTGACCCCTCCTGTTCCTTAGAGCGAATTGTTACCATCCAAGTTGCACGTTCCAGCCAGTGCTTAGAACGCAGCGGTACAGGAGGGCCCGTGCAGCACTCTGGCTTGAGAAGCAGGTCTGCTGAGGAAAAGGTGGGAGCTCTCTCTCGAGTCACAGGTGGTCTGAGCACAGGACTAATCCTGTCTCTGACACCAACTCCCTCGGTGGCCTTGAGCAAGTCTTTTAACCTCTCTGTGCCGCAGGGGATGACAATACTTAACTCCTCGCATGCACTGGAGGAGGCTACGTTCATTACTGTTTGCAGTGCCCTGGAAAGATAACAAGAGCTGAGTGTGGGTCATGAATGATTTGGCTGATGACCATATCTCAGGTCCTTCACCTCCCTTTCATTGCCTCTTTCGCTGATCTGGATGCTATAGCAAATGAATTGGCCAGTGGTTCTGTGCACCCACCACTGCTCTCTGTTGGCTAAAATAAAAGCTGCACAATTGTGTGTCATAGGCACTATACTGCCAATAGCTACTAGAGTTTCTCCTTTATTTGAAGTGGCAGGAGTCTGGATTTTTAGAGCAGGAGTTTCTGAGCTCTCCACTAGCTGTCACTGGGAAGTTCAGTATGTAGGAAAGTGACAGCTGGCCACATGAACCTTAGGCCATTGGGACACAGGTAATGATAGACCCGGTAATGATTTCATTCTAATTTGAGATGGATCTTTTCTCTGCACAGTGCCGGAGAGCCCCTGAGGTCCTTTCCCTCTGGGAGCAAAAGCTCCCACGCAAGTACAGGCATGATCTTTTGTGCCTTTTGGAATAACAAACAGCCGGTAATCAATAATAGCCTGTAATGTGTGCAGTGTGGGCCCTGTTTATTGCATATGATTTGTTCTGTGCTCTTGCTGCATGGCTGAACCCATATGGAGCGACACATGACATGCCGTAAGGCTGGAGGAAGAGCGCTTGACTAGGAAACAATTCAAAGCAGGGATTCTGGTGCTGGGGAAAAGCTGTGTACAGCTGAACAATTTTGCATCTCTAAGGCATGGGACCCCTGGTTTGAGAGTAGATAAGGTTTGAATCAGAGAAATCATTGGTTCCCTTTTTTGGCCTTTGCACGTAGCACTGTCCAATGCCGGGGCAATTCATCAGTTACAAACATGCTCAAGAATAGAATAGATGCTAATACGAGGGAGGGCAACCAACTCCTTGTGAATTTTGCTGTGTGCAAAAGTACCAAAAAATATATATATTGCACATAGGTTTTCATGTTTAAAACAACTGAATTGTTTGCGGGCGGGGGGGGGGGGGGGAGGAATCAGGTTCACTGAAAAAAGGGGAAATACCTGACTTCAAGAACTTCCATTCAATTCTTTAAAAAAATAAACATTCTGAATGGTCCCACTGGAGATACGGAGTCAGATCCAAAGCGAGTGTAAATCTGAAGTCAATGAGATTTACACCATTTAAAGGCTGACCCATGCGGCCACATTTCATCCTCAGTCACAACCCCACTGCCTGCAAGTGACTCAGAACAGAACGTTTGCGCCTTAGCTACTCAACGGAGCAAAACTGATTAACCCCAAACGAGAATCCAGCTCATTTTAGCCAAAGGTGCAAAAAACAAAAATATCAGTGCTCCAAAATGTTAACCCAGCGGCCACGCCCAATCCCGCCCCAGCCCCCAGATAAATATTTCCATCGGCGTGTTAATTATTATTCTTATTGTTTGTTTATCCCAGAGTCTAGTCTAGCATTCCCTGTGCTACGTCGCCAGTAATTGTGCTCCTGGCTTTCACTGCCACTGGGCTTCAGCCAGTCAGTGCTGCGACCTGGTTACAAAGCTTTGCCAGCCAATAACCAGGAGGCGGCCTGCTAAGCACCCTGGGAGTCTGCCCTAAAACAATTCATGCAGCTTCATCGTTGCCTTGTTTGTTTTAAAAATATATTGACTCGCATTTTGAATGTATGATTATTACATTATTATTATTGGTAAACAGTCTCCCGAGCACGAAGTTGACAAATTAAAACCTCATTTCCCTTCCCCCGAATTAAAAAAGGAGTACTTTACGGTATGTGTTTTCAAGTGTCGGTCTTGTGCAACTGAATCACATCTCCTGCCAGAAATATATATAATTTTTGTGTTCAGTTAAAAAAAAACGAAACCAAAAAAGGATTTGTTTCCTGATATTTCCTCCTTTCGAACCTCGCAGAGCTCAGCTTCATGAAAATGCTTTCATTTTCACAGAGTGAAAGAAAACAAAATCACCAGCTCTCTGCGTGCTAAGACGATACTCCTACATAGCCCACCCCCGGTGTTCTCCCTTAGCTGTGCCGCCATATTGAATCTGCTTCCAGTACGTTTTCTAATAGCTTTATCAACACTGGAAGTTCAAAACACTCTGTGGCCTGTTGTGGTTTCCTATCACAGACCGTTCAGTGGTTATTGCAATGAAACTTAAAACTACAAACAATACTAATTTCTCAAGCATTCCTATGGCACTTGCATTGTTCTGCATAATTTGAGCAGGTGGTAGGGGAAGAGATGAGAGGAAAAATAACCTCAGAACAGTTAGCGAAGGGGCCCTGAGTCATATTTCGGACTCCCTTCTATATGACCTCTGATCCAGTGCTATCGTGGCCTGAAGCCTGTCAAATTCATGCCTGTTGTCCGGGTTCAGGTCATCCAGACCCCTGCTGTCATCATCCTCTTCCTCCTCCTCCTCCTCATCACGGCTCATGAAGGCAAGCTCATTCTCGTAGCAGAAGGAGTTGGTGCTAGGGAGCAGGAATTTGTTCTCCACCAAGTCCTTAGCACTGCAACGCGGGGTTGACGGCACCTCGTAGGTTTTGTGGAAGTGCGAGTAGTCTACTTTGTACTGGTTTTTCTCCTCAAACAGGACGGGCTCAAAGCGGTGGCCCCACAGGATCTCGCTAGCCAGGTAGGAGCTCCGAGCTTGTGTCGTCATGGCTGTGGCTTCTACCATCCCTTCAAGGATCACCACAATTTCAAAGTCATCTGTTTCCAGGTCCTGGTGGCTAATTCCAAACAGCGGGCTTTCCTCATTGATTTCATGAAGAATAGTGATTGGCGACACCAAGAAAATACGGTCCAAGCCTTTGTCAAACCCAACGTCAATGTCTATTTGATCGAGGGGGATATACTCCCCCTCCTCGGTGATTCGAGGCTTAATTAACTGAGCTCTCACGTGGGCTTCCACTATGTGGCTTTTTCGAAGGTTCCCAACTCTCCACATCAGGCAGAGCTTCCCATCTCTCATGGCCACGACAGCGTTATGGCTGAAAAGTAACGTTTGGGCCCTTTTCTTGGGCCTGGCCATCTTTGCCATGATTGCCCCAATCATGAAGGAGTCGATTATACACCCCACAATGGACTGCACCACCACCATGAAGACGGCTAGCGGGCACTCCTCTGTCACACAGCGGAATCCATAGCCGATCGTCGTTTGGGTTTCAATGGAGAACAGAAAAGCAGCCACAAAGCCGTTCACTTGAAGAACACAAGGCTTGAAGTTGTCATCCCCGGCTGGGTTTTCTAGGTCTCCATGGACAAGTGCAATGAGCCAGAAAATCAGCCCAAATAATAACCAGGACACCAGAAAGGCAAGGGAGAAGAGCAACAACATGTACCTCCAGCGGATGTCGACGCACGTCGTGAACATGTCAGCGATGTATCTTTGAGGCTTGTCATCCATGTTGGTGAACTGAACATTGCACTGGCCATTCTTCTTCACGAACCTGTTTCGGCATTTCCTCCTGGTGTGGATCTTACCGTTCCCAAAGCCGTTGACTCCTGGCATGGTGGTCAACCTCAGCCCGTCTTCCTCAGAGGATACTATGCTGTATGCGTTGACTCGGCCTGTGCTCATCCCTGAGTCAAGCATGTAGAGAACGTGAAAGGTCTCCTGACTCCTTCTGATGTTCCCCTCCCCCCTTGCCTGCCCCCCTCCCCCCCAAATACAGCTGTTGCAGAAGAGAAGTCCAAGGCTGCAAAGTCTTTGCTGCTACTTCACCAAACAGATCCAGTGAGAGACTCTGCAATGAGAAAACAAAGACACACGTTACCATTCAGACACAGAACCGGAGCAGGGCAAAATGGAAGCAAATATGTGTTCTGCAGTGTCGCTGTATCAAACAGCTGTGCTCCTCCCCAGAGGCGGCTGCATTTCGGTGGTGGGTGAAGTGACTTACTCTAGCTCTTAGGGGCATTCTGGGCTTTGCCTAGTGAATTCAAAAAGAGAAATTAAGTGGTCCAAAAGACTGCTCCTTTGTACTGCATAAGTGAGCACTATAACTGGGAAGACGTTTGAGAGTCTAAGCCATGCAAACGGACAAAGACCGGTCAGCATGCATGCAGATTCAGGAGGACGGCTCTTTCAAAACTGCCTCTTCCCCTCTAGTGCTCTCTGTTTTCACACAGAGGCCTCTGGGGGAAGGGTACTGGAGAGAGGAAGAGGAGAGGGAAGCCCGAAGGCCAGCATGCATTCCTCCTTGAGTGTGCACAGATATTAATAAATAATCTGTAGCTCTTAGATAACAATGTTGATCAGTAGACCTCAAAGTGCTCTAGAAAGGAGCTCAGGATCATATCCCTATGTTACAGATGGGGAAACTGAGGCACAGGGTGGTCACCCAGCAGCTAAGCTAAGGATAGAACCCAGCTCTCCTGAGACCTAGTCTAGTGCAGTAACCACTAGCCCACACTGTTTTCTGGAGGTGCCCTTGAAAAAGCAGCCCATCAGTTCCCATCTGCCCAAGCACAGCACAGCAACAAAGCCCCTGACTTCCCAAGCACCAGCTCTCGTGAGGTCAAAGGAATCCACAGGGAGCTGCCTGAACCCACCTGGCAACCCCAGCAACTGGAAGGGGGGCGGTTGTGGGCCAACGTAATGTGCGAGTGGTTTGAGAAGGCCTCAGTGAGACGGTGGGTATCAGCAAAGTCTAATCCTGCAAGGGTCCGAGTGCCTAGAGCACCCAGTGACATGACACCCGGGGGAGGCAGTGACCGGATCAGTCCCGGAAGGAGCTTGCAGCAGTTAGTGCTGACAACTCATCCACTGGGCATGTCAACAATCAAACAGGCGCTGGCGGTGGGGCAGCACCATTCACAAAATCACTAGGTGCTACTTGCTCTCCTGCTAATCAACAACATGGATTTGCCATGCTGCATCAGCTCATCAAACCGTCTAGTCCAGCACCCTGCCCCGGCCAGAGACCAGTACCGAGGATCCTGGCTGGGCACTAGCCAATTGTGCAATCAGGGCCGGCTCTGGCTTTTTTGCCGCCCCAGGCAAAAAAGCCTTCCACCGCCCCCCCGCGGGGAGCGGGGGGGAGGAGGGCGGAGATCCCGGCCAGGGCCCCGCTCTTCCCAGCCGGCCGGAGCGCCGGGAGGAGGGCGGAGAGCCCGGCTGGGGACCCGCTCTCCCCGACCGGCCGGAGCGCCGGGGGAGGGCGGCCCTGCTCTTCCCAGCTGGCCGGAGCGCCGGGGGAAGGGCGGTGAGCCCAGCCGCGGCCCCACTCTCCCCGGCAGGCCGGAGCGCCAGGGGAGGGTGGCCCCGCTCTTCCCGGCCGGCTGGAGCGCCGGGGGGAGGGCTGCGAGCCCGGCCGCGGCCCCGCTCTCCCCGAGTGAGCACCGCCCCCCTCCAGGTGCTGCCCCAAGCACATGCTTGGAGGGCTGGTGCCTGGAGCCGGCCCTGTGTGCAATACAGTACACAGAGAGAGGTGGAGTGGGGGATCCTTCCTGACACCCCTATTCCCTCCAGACACACCAGTGCTCAGCTGATGCCTTGAGACAGGAGCAATGTCATGGAGCTCAGCTGGCCAAGCTGTACGTGTCAGTGTTTATCTCACAGGGCCAGCTAGACCAATCGATCCAGTCGATTCCTGCAATCAGTCCTGGTGCCCGGGGATACAATGTAACAAGCACACCCTTTTCCATCACATTGTAGGCTGGGGATTGGTTGGCTGGCCCGGCATCACAGCTAGAGGAGCAGTGCCAGACGCGAGCTGCCTGTGGCTAAATCAACCCATCTCGTAAGGATCCAATGATTTCCTCTGAATTGCATTTTGCGGTGTCCCGTTTTGGACCCCAGCTTTGCCAAAGAAACACGGCACCAGGCATCTGCAGTGTTATCAACCGGCAGATCCTCAGCGGGCACCCTCAGGCAAGCCACTTGGGCTTTGCAGGTGTTGGGAGCAGTTCAGAATCAGAACAGTCTGTGAGAACCCTTGCAATGCAGACAGAGATAGCTGGGGACTGTCATCAAAATGCTTTAAAAAAAAATTCCTCTGCCTAAATCACAACACCTAGAACTTTTCATCTTTAACAAAGCCTTCCAACAGCCCTATCACATCACTATTATTACACCTATCTTACAGTTGGGGAAACTGAGGCAGCCAGGCCAACGTCACCAAGGGAGTCTGTGTTAGTGTCAGGGGGATTAGAACTCAGGAGCTCCTGGCTTCTCAAATCCTACACTTATAACATACCGCTTCTGAAAAGAAGAGCAAATCTGACTATACCACTAACGGGTACGTCTTCACTATCCGCCGTATCGGCGGGTAGCAATTGATTTATCCGGGATCGATATATCACGTCTTGTTAAGACGCGATATATCGATCCCCGAACGCGCTCACCGTCGACTCCGGAACTCCACCAGAGCGAGTGGCGGTAGCGCAGTCGATGGGGGAGCCGCGGCCGTCGATCCCACGCCGTGTGGACCCCAGGTAATTCGATCTAAGATACTTCGACTTCAGCTACACTATTCGCATAGCTGAAGTTGTGTATTTTAGATCGATTCCCCCCCCCCCCAGTGTAGACCAGCCCAAAAGAAGAGGAAATCTGACTATACTACTAAAATAATTCCATACAATATAACAGATCTGATTCTTCTCTCACTTATACCAGTATAAATCCATAGACCTGGTTGTAAATACTGAAGTCTGATATGGTGCTTATCTTCCAGATGTCTCAAAACTTTTTACCAAATATCATGATCTGCAGCTTACAGATGGAGAAAGTGAGAAGGGAAGAAACCTACCCAAGCAGCAAACCAGTGGACAAGCTGGGGCTAGAACCCCCTTTCCAACTCCCAGTCTAGCCTCCCATCCACTAAATTACAAGGAGCCAATGTGGTCATGTAACTGAGTGGAGAATCTAGCCCCGTATTTTCCTCTCCTTCTTTCACACAGTAAAATGGCACATTGCAGCTTCCATTGGACAGGAAACATGTAATCCCACTCACTATCTCCCTTTCCATCCATGCATTGGTCATGGTCTATGGAAAACTATAAGGATAGGAATGCCTGGTCAACCATCCCTATGTAGGGTCAGGTTAGATGCAGAGACAAGAGTGTTGCTTCCTGAAAGATAAAAATATTTAATGATATTGTTACTTAAAATGTCAATAGAGTGAGATAGCATTCCCCAACCTTCTGAAAGCTGAGCTCCCATCCAGGAAAACGAAACCAAACACTCCCCCTCCTCCCCAACCCCACACATCTTTAGCATCCTAATGTGTTGTTAAAAGCCTACACAAATGGAGTGGTCACTCAGAGTAGATTGTGTAGATCTTCCTAATCTGAGCTGTCTCCTCCTTGCTTACATGTTGTGATGAGCAGTGAGACAGTTAACAATGCTGGTGTTTAAAGCATCATCATTGGCATCTAAGTTAGTGCCCACTGAAATGAACATGGTAGATCAATCCACGGAGCTACTGTTTCAGGCTCCCTGCAGACTCAGGCAGACATCACCGTGTCAGTCGCACTTGGGTCACGTTTTCAAAGTTTTCTTCTCAACCATAACAGCTAGAGGTTTTCTCTTTTTTTTTTCTAAAGGAAAACTGAGACCCTGGAGAACAAAGGAGAGACTTAGTCTGTGCCCCTCAGCTAATCCGATACGTCTCCCCCCAGGGGGAAGCACCCACACTTTAGGAAATGCTGAAGTAGGTATTCGTCATACCAGGAAATAAAGGGTTTTACCTAAAGCGAATGTCAATTAGGCTACTACATTGAGCTCTTGCTGCTCTATTTACTAATTATTTATACATTTCAGGAGCTATTAAAATCCTAGAAAACCTCCATGCTAAGACTCATAAAGAATAGCTAATAACATTTCAGAATTTGGGCCCTGGTTCTCCACTGCTGGTTTTATGCCAATGCAACAATTCCATGGAAATCCCGCAATGGAAAATCAAACACTGTCTGTTATCAGATTCTGGTCAGAAAGAGAAATGGCCTCAAGACAAGCCATTAAAAATTAGTCAAAGATGCTCATAAAGGGAGGAAAAAACAACATCAGGCTGAACAATACCAAGACTTCAGTATTGCATCTAGTGGTATAATTAAACCACAGCTAAATAAAGGAAAGTAAAATGGATCTGAATTGGATTTATCATACAAAGTGCCCCCACAGTTTTGATTATCTGTGGTTAGTACTTCATTTAGCTTGGGTTTTTTGTATAAAGAAGATTGAACAAAATGTCACTGTTAAGTGGAGCGCTTTTTACATTTTAACAGGGGAGCCTTGTGCTTGTGCCGGCAACACAGGCAGGGAAACTGATTGTGGCCAGCATTTTTCTAAACAGCTCAGTGCTCACCATCAGGGCCAGGTTTTCAAAACAGCTCAGGACATCAGAGACTGATCTCTTTTGAAAACCTGGCCACAAATGTGACACTGGGAGCTGCTGGGGACCGAACACATTTGAAAATCCAGCCACATACTTTGGTGCCTAATTGGGAGCTGAATGCTTTTGTCAATCTGGCCCCAGTTGTGGGTAGGGCTGCCACCTCTGAGGTGTAAAAAAACCAGGACATCCGGGATGATCCTGAGCTCAGAAAACTGGACAGCTGGCGGTGTGTACTGAGCTCCCTTACAGGTTTCCTGGCCATCGCGCTACTTCACAAAAAGGATCAGCCTGGGAAAACCAGGACAGGTGGCAACCCTAATTGTGGGTGATGAGTATTTGAAAATTTGCCCCTACAAGTGAAACTGACCAGGTCCAGCTTCAAGCTAACTAACGTGCAAAAACAGTCA